TTACTATCTACAGTGTTACTTTCAAACTAAACAACTTCCTGGAATACTTTAATGCTGTAATTCGTATTTGGACAATGTTTGTTTGCCTAGAGAGACACCACTACAACAAGGCTCCATTGGTTTGGCTGGCTACATGTACATATTGGGGCATCCATCATCCTAATCTCTTTCATCAATTCCGCTCACATCTTATCATATCTGACGAGTATCCTGTGGAGAACGCCCATAGTATCATTTGCTCAATAACAAATGCCCATGACACAACTGAACAGCTATGCAAAAAGGCAAAATCCACATTTCAAGCTAAACACACACAAAAACACTTCAAGGAACATTTCACTCCACCTAAACATCATAACTTCACAACCAACCACCWCAGAATTCTTAAAGCAAAATGTGCTGGCATACTATCAAAATKATTTGTGGATATATCAAGAAACATTGGGGAGGGAAGAATTATTTTTGAGGGAAAAAAGAAGAGTGCTGTATTGCCCAAAGTATTTGGAAAGGATCGGGTCAAGTGTAGGACACTGCCATTGGGCTATTGTGGTTTACACCAACCAGTACCAGATCGACGTTGTGACCTGCCAAGTTGTACAGCAAGAAACAGAGAAAGTTGGGTATTATTTGAGGGCTGTTCTCATTCTTACCATGAGGACTGTCTAAGTGATACCTACTACTGTGTCCTCTGTCAGGAATTTCTGGCAGACAAAGCAAGATCACTAGCTGAAACTGCTAAAGATGCCATATTGAACCCCAATGAACCCAAAGAAACTGAAACTACAAAGTCTAGTGACAATTCAAAAAATAGTGAATCTGATTCAAATGATAACCTTGACTCAACAGCTCCTGGAGACATTGATTCTATTGAAAATGATATTAAGCTAGCCAATGCATCAATATCTGCACTACCCTCTATTCCATGTCCACCAGACACACCTCCTGCAACAATAAGTACTTCTGACCCAATACCACAGCAGCAGCAAGCCTCTAACAACAGACGTATTCCAAAGTGTTCTCAATGTGGACACCCACAAAAAGGACACACTCGCCCTAAACAAGGACCTGTCAAATGTCCACGATGCAATGGAGGAGTATGTTCAAGACAGCCATCACAGTCATCTCTACCATCGCTGTCAATCCAGCCATCACATTTATCACAGTCAACCCAGCCATCACAGTCAACCCAGCCATCACAGTCAGCCCAACTATCACAGTCAGCCCAACCATCATATTTGTTCCAGCCACAACAGCAACTAATCCTACATCCATATGTACACTATGGTCATGTAATTGAATGGATTCTGCCACAACAACTATGTCAGTCCCTGATCTTTGGAATTCCAATGGGCAGTAATGCTAGTACTATCACCGCTGTCATTGGGGCTATGAAGTTTCTGTCTGGCACAGTTCCTGTCCCTTCTCCTCACAATATTTTATCAACTGTGGCTGCATTTGCCAACTCAATGAGAGAAGGAAACATTCTTTACAACAATTTGAATCTACCAGTAAACCAGCCAAACTTAAATGTCCAGGAGGCCCTAGCAAGAAGATATGATAAGTTTGGACTGACAATGATAGAAGATAGTGCAGTTTTCTCTCCAGCCTGTCTCAAAGACAAACTGGTACTCATGACAATCTCATCTGGCAATAAATCTGCTATTATTATTGCACCACCAGATAAGTCAATGCTGTTATGTTTTAGCAGAAGGGAACAGAAAGTTTCATTGTTTGAAA